GAAGCAACCCCCTTGGTGCCTCTGCTATCCATTGCTTGAATCAGGGCAAATCTCCAAAGCAGACAGGCCTCTAGTCCCAACTCCATCACCACAGGCCAGCCCCTATCTACATCCACTGTGTCAAGTCCGTTCCTCCATTCACTCACTTCCAACTTTTGTTTCCTAAGCCGAAGGCTGGCCCAGGCCATGGAGCCAAATGGAAGCCACAGGAGGCCCCTGCCTCAGAAGTTTCATCCAACAACAGGCTGAAATGGCAACATGATATTTAGTGCTCACGCCCCAGTGCCATAGGCTGTGGAGCATGAACTGAGCTCTGTGGAGATAGTAGTACATACCCCTGAGGCCTCAGGCCAACTCTCCCTTGTATTCAGCCCTCACTGGAGCCTATTGTAGATTCCTGCTCCCCCGCTTTAACAGGAAACGTTTCTCTACCACCCCACAAAACATACATCACTTCTTGGCCCTTTCCCTATTCTCCCCCAATCCCTATTCTTAGCAGCTGCACCCTGGCACATCAGCAGCTCTCTGGCTTTGATCTTAGCCAGCTGATGGAAAATGTTATCAATAGGTTTTATTAGCTTTCCTAGCCCAGGCTGAAAAGGAGTGGGAGCGACAATCGGGAATAGCTATGATTACATAGCCGTCAATCCTGCTGAGATTACTGCTGTTGTAGGACTTAATTAACAGTTTATAACAACACTCATTAAAAACAAAAACCTCTGCATAGTGCTGAGTTAGAATTCCCAGCTCTGGAATGTAATTAGATACCAGCTGTGCTGGGTAACTGGTCATTTCCAAGCAGCTAAAGACCCATTTGCTTCCAAAACAGAACACAGAACAGCAGGAGAGTTTGGGAAGAAGAGAACTAATACAGCAACTAAGCAACTCATACCCTTGACAGACCATATTAAAGCCTACATCTAATGGAGGCTAGAGCTTAAACATGTCAAGCTATGTTACACTGAATCAAAAATTCCTTCAGTGTAAGACCACCACTTTATGGAAAGCAGGAGATGATGATACTGCACACCCCGGTGTTCAATCACAACTAATATCACAAGGCAGCTAACTCATCCCAGAACAAACAAATCCAAAATACAGGTAACTTCAATTACTGGGGTGACCCAAGGACAGAATTTTCTCTCAATCCTAACTAGGAGGCGCTCCTTGAAGTGTGGTCTAGTATCTTGAACATGGGATCGTGAGCCAGGGTTTGTGGGTTCCATTCCCAGCTCTGCTTCTAACTCACATAGCCTTGATCATCTGTAAAATGATTATAATACAGGTTTCACCTACCTCACCAGGCTGCTGTGAGGCAAAGTTAGGGTTTGAGACACTCCAAAAGGAAGCATGACATATTATTCAAAGTCACCCCATAGATACCTTCTGGTTCTGATGAGTCAGTGCAACTGAGTTTCAGCTTTGAAATTTCAATCTCTTTTATACTGTATATTAAAATGAAGTCTACATGGAACACAGCATATCAAGGCAGGATATTACTCATGCCTGCAGCTTGCACCTTAATTGCACCCTTCAGAGTTGGGAAGGATAACAGAACTCCCATCAATAAGCATCGCACAACTGAACTGTTCCTCGCTCAAGCAGGCACTTTTTACAACGTATCCTACCGCTGAATGGAGAAAAACCAGTCCTACTTCCCACGGAACAAAGCAGACACTTTCCACTGATGAAAAAGAACATGCCATTCACCTGCATCAGTCTTGCTACACTGCCATCACATGACCTAGAAGGAAGTGCCCTTTAACCTACTACTAGACAAATGCCAATATAAGTGAGGCACTAGATATGCCCCACCCCAAGCCTATGTTTGCTATAGATAGGATTGGAAAGCTCCTATCAAGCCAGTCACCAGCAGAAGCACAGATCTCTCCTCTTAGCACACAGGTCGAGTTAGCTGGGTTTCCATGCTAGAGTCTCTGCCATCATTTTCAGGGCAGCCCGCCACGTCTTCATCCCTAAACAGATCCCATGCTTGACTGGTGAATGGCATAAGATTTTAGGGGATTGTCTTCCCCAAAGTGCTGATTGCAGAGGCAAATTCAGCTCAGCCACGGGGATCATCATCCAAAAAGAAGCCAGCTTTCAGGACTGGGTGCATCATAGAGCTGGGTGGGGGCTGTAGACCAGGCATAGGCAACCCTGACAGATCTGTATGAGGGGCCCTGCAATGGAGTTGTGGAGAAGGTTGCTGCAGATTAGAAGCAAGGGGCATTGGCGGAGCTGGACATAGGGGCCGGGTACAGATCTAGCCCCAGGGGCATTGGCAGAGCTGCATGCAGCCCTGAGGAGCTGGAGAGCGCTGCAAGTCAGGATGGAAGGTCTCTGCTATCAGGGTAGGGGCTCCCTGCATCCCCCAGGTGGTTAGTTTCCAGGCCCCAGAGGCATCCAGCTCAGGCCAGACTGCACACAGGCCCCCACCCCTAGGCCGCAGAGCCAGGGCGTCCAGCTATGCCATGGCCCAACCACTTTTTGGCTGGTCCACACCTGAGGGGCGCTGTGCCCCAGCTCACACCGCCACTCACTGGGCTTTGGGGCTCACGGGCCAGGCTGCTGGGGCAGGGCCCTGAAGGAGGAAGAGGAGGGTCAGGCGTTGGTCGGGGTGTGTGTGTGGAATCTGTGCCCCCCTCCTTTCAGTGGCGCTCCGCAGCCCCTGCCAGCCTGCACTATCTCGGGGCAGCGCTTCCCTCCGCCATGCGCGCTAGATCCGGGAGGGGGCAGGGGACTCACCGGGCCAGCTGCTGCTCCCGCCCCCCGCCGGGCCAGGGCTCCACCTGAGCCTGGCGCCTCCACTTACCCCGCCCGAGCCCCCACGCGCCCGCCCAGCGCCTTGCTCCGGGAACCGATGCTCTTCGGAGTCGCCCTGCGGGGTCCCTTGGCACCTGCCTCCCCATCCCACTGAGCACCTCCCTCTCTGGCACCTCCACCTGCCTTCCCCCCGGAGACTCCTCCCCCCGGGGCCGGTCACCGCCCTCTGCCCTCCCGCTCAGCTTCTCCTCTTCGCTGCACTTTCGGGGAAGTTCGGCGGTGTCTCCTCCAGCCCCCCAACTTCGCTCCCCCGGTGCCTGCAGCCTTCCAGAAACTCCAGCCGTGCACAGATCCTGGCCGGGCTCCCGCCTGCCTTGCCCCATACTGAGACAAAGCCCCCCTGTTAGCGCTACTCGTTCCCCCTCTCCCTCCGCGCCCGGATCCCTTGACAGCAGACAAGGCAGGTTTGATTTCCAGACTCCTATTTACAGAGTTGCAGAACTTACGTTTCACTCTGCCACGCTTCCCTGCTGTTTCATTTCACTCCTGGCTCACAGCTCCTCCCCCCCCAAACCCCTAGGTAATCATCATCCCTGCCCAGCCCCACGGTTACTACACCCAGCAACCCCAGCCTAGGACTGCCCCTTCGTTGTTCCCATGCTCGCCTACCGTATTTTGCAACCGTTGGGATCTCGTAGTAGATCAGTGCACGATAGCCATCGAATCCTCTGGCTACTACCTAGGAAACCAAACGGAAGTGCCACTTGCATAGGGGCCAACGAATAAACACCATCTTCACTCCGTAGGCTGGCAATATGGCTTGGAAAAGTTGGAATTCGTTTGGAGAAGCACAATTCTTGGCCCTCGCAGGGAATGGAATGACAAGCAGGGAGCCTGCCTTGCCGAAAGGGCCAGGGCCATTGCTCAGTTTATTGGGGTACACACCTGCCTTTGAGTCACAGCGGTGCATAAAGCCCCCATGGATTTGTTCACACCGGTCACCTGTCTCTAACTTAAAACATGTAGGGAGATGGTAAAATACCAGCCTAGTGGACTGCCGCTTTAAGGACCAGCCAGTTGGCTTCCAGCTTCGGTCTGCCTGCAGAGGTGCAGATGTGGTGATAAACAGCATCTCTTAATACCTATGGTGGTTGGCCCTTGTAGCTTCTAGGCAATTAGAACTGATTCTCTTCAGAGGATAGTGGTACTATTGTGTATTGTCATGGTTGGTGGTGCAATTCAGGTTCAATTTGCATGATGTCTTTATTCTCTGAGCTGGTAGGGGCTGCAAGTACAGTAGGGGCACAATGTTCAAATGTTCACTACTGGGAATTGATTTGTATTTTTCAGTGGAAATCCCTAAATCAGTACAGAAATAATATTGACAGACTTTAGCAGATCTTCCAGTCCTCCTTGGTCAGAACAATAGGAAGGGAATGCAAGTGGGGAATGTAAAATGGGGGTGGGGGGGAATTTTAGGATTATGACACAGATGCAAACCCCATGGCTCTGGGAAATAAAATTCTGAAAAATGCAATTAATTGCATTTCGCTTAAGGGGACACTACAAGCCTGATGCTTTTAAACCTAACTTTTAAAATTACACTTTCTGATACACAATCCTTTCAATAGTATGTCCTGATATTTGAAAAAAAATATTAAAAATGTGTAAGGTTTTCCTACTCCTCTACTGATGTTTATATTTATAAGGGTCCTTTCAGCCAGGGAGAAACAGACTAGAGCCCCTCTCTTGCAACTGGATCTAGGTAGGTAAGCCCTTGTGCCTGTATGGAGCCCGACTGAAGTCAATGGGGCTTCAAGCAGACACAAGCATTCACCAGTGAGGATCCAACTGCAGGATCAGGGCTTGACCTATTCAGTGAAGCTCATCATCACAAAATAAACAAACTGAAAAAAAGAGACTAATATTTTGGTTTGATAATTTCTTTCAGCGACAGCGATGTTAAGTGTTACCCGTCACTACAGTGGGTACTTTATTTCAAACAAGTATAATTTTCAAGTTGATGGTTTCTCTTTAGTGGCAGAAGACAGGGTACCCCACCATGGTATTAACTCACTCACACTGTCAACACTTACAACTCTTTCCCAGGGACCCTAGTCAAGTGTCAAAATTTATCCCTATTTTAAACTGCATACAATTACCACTGACTTTATTCTGACTCCAAATATTTAATTTAAACTGATCATCATGGGGAATAAACAGGTAACATTAAGCATCTGCCACTGTGTATTTTTATTCATTCTACATCACATTTTACACTTTGCAGCACAGCGTTTCATTGTTACGTTGCTTGAAGCCATTCACTTCTCTGGACATTGCTGCAAAGCCACGGGCAGTTTTCCAAATATACATCCCCCACCCAATGTGATGGAAATGAAATTTCATTTTGTATTGAGAAAAAAATGTTCTAACTTCACTGCTTAACTGCATGGGCTCCAAACCCAACAACAACAGCAAAATCTCCCAAAGTTCTACATGGTAGAGAAAATTCATGAAATCTTCAACAGGATCCAAAACCAGCATAAAAGCATGTTTTGTCCTTTTAAATAAACAGTGGTAGGTCACTGACCCAGGATCCCTTCCTTGCTTCCAGACAGCACAGCTTCACCACACTTGGCAACTTCGGATCAACTCCTGCAGCGCTTTTATTCCTTCCATGCTCTTGTCCTTCAAAGCTATAGCCAGGAGAACAGGTTTGTTCCCAGCTTCCTGAGACACAAATGTCACCAGGTTTTTAGCACAAACATGGATGAGGGGCTGAAAAGCAAAAAAACACAGTCCTTCAGTTCAGAGAATCTTCCCACTCTATTCATTCACTACTAATGGAATGCTCCTGGAGTATCTTTTTACTAAGCATATTAAGGATTTATCTACACTGGACTGAAACTGGATTTGCTGACATGTAAATGTAAAGATAGCCAGGTCTTTACATTCACCACAGACTTTGAAATGGTATTTTAGCCCTTGGTTAAAGCCACACAGTGATTTTGATAGAATAATGTAGACTTTAAAAAAAAAAGGTGAGGCTAAGGGCATTAGCAGGAGAAAAGGGATATAATTCCCTTTAATTGGGGTTTCTCTAACAAGTATGCCCAATTTGTCCAGATTTTACTTACATCCATCTTGCTACATATATTTATCTGAAGTTTATTTTTGTTTGATTTTGTTTCAACACTGGTTTGTGGGTTTTGGCAGCATGCATCACCACGAAAGGCTAGACAGGAAGTACTTCGTTCTCATGTTAATCAAAGTTTTCCTCAAGGTTGTTTAGATTAATTAATTAACATACAATACAAAGGAGCAGATAATGGACATACATGCAAGACTCGGGGAAATGATTTCTCCCATATGTAACAGGAAGAGCCACTAATTAACAAAAGGTAATATCAGAAACTGAATATGCTCTTCTGCTCCATTTTGACAAGTGCAAATCACACCAAGGCTGTAACCATCCTGTCTACAGGCAGACACGACACATCCCACATGTAGGAAAGAAAGCCTATTATTGAAGGGTGAGAACTACATAAAGATGAGCTGCTAAGAGGATCAGGAACCTGTCACATTGCTGAGTGTTTTTTGTTTTTGTTTTTTCCTGTTTGGGGTTAGCAAGCAACACAAGACAGTTCTAACTGCACTGTAAAACCAGGTAATCTTGCAGTATTCTGTAACTTTATATTTAGTGTCTGTCTAATTGATGTTTTCCAAAATATATTATTGTTTTCTCTTGTTTCTGTAAAATAGTCAATGAGAACTCATTTTAAGCCAAAATGAATTGCATAACTGACTTATCTAGGGGGGTGGGTGGGAGAGGCAAAGGTTTGGAGAAAAAGAAGTGGTGGGATGGGAAAACTGACTGGGACAAGCACCTGAGAAAGGTTAGTGAAGGCCATTACACTTGCTCCTGCACCACTGAAGTCAATGGGAGCTGCAAAGCACCATAAGAATAACTGGGTATGAAGTGACAGATCCCATATATGCCTTCAGTGTAGATTCAATTAGACATTTGTTATGTTAAATGCCAGTTGAATGCCCAAGCTTTATTGATGAACCACTCCTCTCCTAGTACAGGATTCTTTAATCTTACCACTGCACAACTACACATCAGCTGCTTAGCAGCCTCAGCGGGCTCGAATTTTGAATTCCCCTTCAATCTTCAGGACCACATGCTCTGCTTTGTACCTCATCTGTGCCCAGCAGCACTTTTGTGGTGAGTGAAGGTTTGCTGACGTCATTGGCTATTGTGCTGGGGTCCACAGAGACGAGCGTTCCCATCTTCCCATACTGCGTCACCACCACAAGAATGGAGTTGGAGAAGGCCGTGCACACCACCTCTGTTGGGACACCCCTCACCACCTCCTCTCTCTGCTTCGAAGTCACAATAGGTTTTGCTGCCATGGCAGAGGTCTTAATTGCTGAGTAAAATAATATATTAGTATTAGATATAAAAACAGTAACTAAGGGCCATAAAAAGGCTTAATATTTTCATTAAATTTAAAATACCTGTTAAGTTGTTTTAATGATATAAATATGCCCAGAGATGTAAGCAACAGGTGCAGCTGTATATAAATAATCAGGAACATCTGAAGCCTGGGTGTATCTGACTCAGAAGTGAATTTTAACTGCCCATCATTAGAGAGCTACACTTAGGCTACACATACAAGTTGCTATTTATAGGTTTTTATGCCATTCATAGTTTGACACTGATTACAACTGTTTTTGTGTCACATACAGCAGATCATATAGTCCTATTAGGCTTGGGTCCTGACTCCCAGAGCGAGGTCTCCTGGTTCCTGGTCCCCACTAGAGCATGGTTTCTCTCAAGCAGTGGTGTAGCCAGCATGGGATATTTGGGTGGGCCCCGATTTCGGGTGGGGAGGGCAATTATGGGAGGGAGGGGGACGGGGAGAGCATGAGGGATGGGGGCCCACCTTCCCTCACCCCCTGCAGCTGGGTGATGGATGGACCTTTGGCCAGGGGCTCCCCGGGGACACACCCAGCTCCACTCTCCAGCGCGCACTGCCAGGCCTGGCTCCCCCAGGCAGTGGGCCTACCTTTTTTGAAGATCTCTTATACCGCTGCCGGACGCCCGCTCGTTTGCCCTCCTCCCATTGGCGGATTAGCCACTGGGCCAACCCAGGCCCCCGGAAAAATGGGCACTCCCGTGCCCCCATCCACTCTGCCCATCCGACGCTCCTGCTAGGGAGCGGGATGGGAACACCAGGGCTTTCCCCATTCTACCCAGCCCCGGCAGGAGTGCCAGGCAGGCAGAGTGGAGCAAGACCCGTGCCCCAACCTTGACAGGAGTGCAGGGCAGGTGGGCGGAGTGGGGCAAGCGCTGGGGCCAGAGCAGAGCTGTGGGGAGGAGGGGTCCTGAATGTTAAGTGTGTGGGCTAAGTGTCTACACCCCTGCTCTCAAGATGGACCAAATCCAGAACCATTTTGCCAAACTTCCCTACCCAAATGTTGAGGATTGGGATAAAACGGGGCTAGTAGAACCACCCGGCTTGTGCTTAAGGGCACCCCTTCTTTGGAGCCTGGCGTTCCCGGGCCAGTGATTCCCATTCTGCATCCGTTTTACCTTGACCGGAATCCCGGGGGAAGACTTGGGCTGATCTCTCACAGCCACCATTCGCCCAGTGTCTCTCCTCTGTCCTCCTAACACCCATTGCTCCCCCCGCGGGCGGACGGACCGAGGCTGGGTCGGGATCACGCCCCTATCCCAACCCCCGACTGGAGCCAGGCGCAGGCTCACACCGTGATCCCACCCCCAGACTCAGGGCAGGGTCAGAGTCACACCAAGATCCTGCCCCGAGGCCTGGCCGTGGAGCCCTGGGCAGGGTCGCGCCCACCACGATCCCACCCCCGGGCTGGGCCGTGGAGCCCTGGGCAGGGTCGCGCCCCCCATGGACCCAACCAGCTCCAGCTCTCGCCCCGCCTCCAGGCCCAGGAAACCGGGCGCCATAGTAGGGGCCTGGGCCCGGCCCGCCTGGGAGGCGAGACCAGCCCGGGGCCCGCCCGGGAGAAGGCGGCGACCGAGACCAGGGCCTAGCCCGCACCGGCCTCACCCTGGCAGTTCCGCCGCGTCCTCCCCTCTCCTGCCCGGCGGCTCCCTCGGTCATCGGCCGCCGCTGCTCCAGCCGAGCCCGCTCTCCGCACTGGGCGCCGCCGCTGAGTCACTCTGAGCCCGCCCCGGCCTGGGCGTCACCCCGGGCCCACCCCAGGCCCCTCCGAGCGGGGAGCCTCCCCCGTGCGGCCCCACGGAGCGGGGAGCCCCCCC